TTCTCCCTTCCTCCTCTTCCTCTTCTCTCCCTTCCTCCTCTTCCTCTTCTCTCCTTCTCCTCTTCTTCTCCCTTCCTCCTCTTCCTCTTCTCTCCTTCTCCTCTCCTCTTCTTCTCCGTTCCTCCTCTTTCTCTTCTCCTCTCCTCTTCTTCTCTGTTCCTCCTCTTCCTCCTCCTCTTCCTCCTCAGAGTGTAAACTCTCAAACACAATTGTTGACTCTTCCTCTGTAATCTGATCAATATCGATCGACCCCCCCCCCCCCCCCCCCCCCTCAGCCTGATCAGTTTCTGCACGATCCTCGTGCGCGGCGGGATCCCGGAGTGCACGGGAATTCTGCTGCACGCGCACGCCCACAGCAGCGGCATCACTGTATTGTACTTTGGGAAAGTGCGCGCGGAGGATCGATGTGATCGACCCGCAGTGCGTGTGATCGGGTTCAGCTCTGCAGGGTCAGTGCGCACGGTCCGCGGCCACACACACGCGCACGCACACACACTTTCACACTCTTACACGCGCACACCGACGCAGTCCGGCGGGGGCCGGAGCGTGTGGAGGTCCCGGTGCTGAGCAGCAGCGGAGGTGGCGCTCTGTGTCCGGGACAGCTCTCTCTCTCTCTCCCTCTCTCTCTCCCCGTCTCCTCCTGCCGGTGATAAATTACCGGAGAGCAGCTGTCGGTGGATTCAGAGGCGAGGCGGCCGTCAGGCAGCTCAGGGATCCCGCTTCTTTTCTTTCTTCCTCCCTCGTCACATCTCTTTCCCCGGGACTCCGTCGATGCTGTTGCCGCTGCACCGCGCCCTCCGTCCCGAGCACCGAGGAGCCGCACCGCCGCACGCCGGCCACAGCGCCCCGCAGGACGGATAGACATGTTGCCGAGGTCCGCCGGTCGCCGTGGATCTGCGTAATGCAGTTTCGGGACATTTTGGAGCTTTGCACCGTGCACCACCACCACCACCACCGGCCACTCTCAGCCCGCAGCACCGACACCACACCGGGCTGCCCCGTGACTTCCCCCGCTTCACTCCTCTAACGGGACTTTCCTCTCGTCGCCGGAGATGTTCTTCGTGTCTGGGCTGAAAGTTGTGCGCTCCCCGGCGGAGGGCCTCTAACAGGTCCGGACTGTATGTAACCCGAGGCGGGGTCAAAGTTCAGCCCTGGTTGGAAATGTGAAAGCGAAGGGGGCAAAAGGAGGGCTCTATTCCCCCTCTCTCTCCTTCTTCTTCTCTTCTTTCCTTTTCACACTCTGCGCACACGCACGCGCACACAGGCTGGAGATACTGTAACCACACGCACACAAACACACACACCTTCCAGATCTAACATTAGATCCGACAGATATGTATTCACCGCTATGTCTGACACAGGTGAGTGATCTCTAACTTTGACTTTGTCTTAACGTGTTGTTGTGCAGCTCAGTGACTGTGCACGCTCACACACACGCACTCTGTGGATCAGTGTGTGTGTGTGTGTGTCCTGCAGCAGCACATGGCGGACGGCGCCTCCAAACTTTACCGGATAATTTAACCGGAGTAATAATGTTGTGTGTCCCAGTTTGTCTGTGGAGCTCTGGACACAGTGTGTGTTTGTGGGGACTCGGGGCCGCTGCTCGCGCTGGGTCCTCGCGGGGCTGCAGCTCTGCTCTGCCCCGGCTGCTCCCCTGGCACCGGCCCCGGTCCAGGCTCCCGCTGCCCGGTCAGTCAGCTCCGGGAGAGGAGGAGGAGGAGGAGGAGGAGGAGGAGGGGGTTCGGTTCATTTTGCAGGAGGTCCCCCCCCCCCCTCATGGATTGAACGCCATACTTTGCGCAAAATGTTTCTGCGTGAACCTTTTTGGTTTTGTCAGTTTTCAAAGTTTCTCGCGTGCAGAAGTTGTAACTTTCTCTCGTTGACTCACGAACAAGCTCCAGATTTGCGCAGGAAGCCGGAGCTCGGTGCAGCGAGCAGGGCTTCGTGTGTCGCGGGCTTTCAGAGCCTGTTCTCGGCTGCTCGTGTTCAGAGCTGCAGGTTGATGCTGTTGTGTTAATGGTGGAGTTTGTGCTGCAGCTCAGGCCTCAGAGGAAACTCAGGCCTGAACCCAACAAATCCACTTAGTGTCCGAGGTGAGCTGAGGTCACCGAGCTGCAGGACACACAGATCATATTTACACCACAAATGAATTGATTCCTGATTTATCTCCTTCCTGGTGCTGAATTTAAATTAAAACTGTTTGTACATTTATCCAACAGGAAACTCAATTTAATAAAATCCCTTTATTTTACCTCAGGGATGTGTTGAGGGTCACAGGTGAAAATAGGATTTCAGAGTGACCTGCTGATTTTTCAGATTTTCTCTTTTTCTTAATCATTTTTTCCTAAAATTAACTTCAGCTTCTTCTTAATAAGAGACAAATTAGAAATCATTAAATTAAACAAATCACACTAAATTCACTGATTTAGTTTTAATACAGAAAATATTTGAAATAAACAGATGATTAGAAATTAATTAGAATGTGAGAATTTAAAATGCAGTTAAATTTCATGTTTTATTATTTATCATTAAAATATATTTATGTACAATAAATTGATATTTAATACTAATAATTTGTAAATGATGTGATGTGTTGCTCCTGGGTGTAAATGATAATAATCAGAATCATCGTTTCTTCTGGAACGTGTGATAATCTGCTGCCTCTGATCTTTTTTTGACTCCACTGATTTTTACTGAATCCAAAAATTCCCCCCAAATAAATCGTCTTTAGATTTTGTGGTTGCAGCTGCAGTCTTGTCGTGAGATGCGTTTGAAGACGATCTGAGCGTCTTAAACTGCAGCAGCGAACACGAGCTTTAACGTATAATCAGATTATCAGGCAGTAAAACCAATAATCAGCAGACGAGTCCTCGCTGCCTCCGTCGGTTCACAAATGCTCCTCAGTGAAGTGTCACAGGAAAAAACTGTCAGCAGCTTCTTTTTAAATTCTTTTGTTTGGCTTTCGTTTGCTCTTTTTAATTGCTGAGCATGAATTTCTAAATTTTATGATTTTCATTGTCCTCACCACTGAAAACATTGATGTGTGTGTGATCCAGTTGATCCTCGTCAGACGCTTCAGACGGTTTTTCAGATAATTTTTCAACATAATTGGCATAAAAACCATTTCCTGAATATTTAAAGTGAATATTGTCTCATCACATCAGAGCTTCGTGAAACCTCCTGTCAGCTGATCGCACACTTCTGCTGAATTTACAGATTTAAAGAAAAATTTATCAAACCTGAAACTTTAAGTTTTAGCTCGTTATAAAAGAACGTTAAAGTTATACGTTAAGTGAGTTTCTTCTGTCAGCCAGGAGGGGGCGCCTCAAAACGAAATTTACATTTTTATAAAATTTAAAAACTTTAATCGCAGTTTTACTTTTAAAACATAATTATAGAAAAATGTGTTTTCAATAAGTGATGAGTTTTGTGAGAGCAGAAGAGTTTCTGTTTTTGTGACGTGGTGACGGAACCAGATGTTTGTTTGTCGGTTTCTTATGTTGTTGGACTTTTTATAGATTTTAAAGAAAATATATTTTTAACGTGTTGATCTTACTTTATTTTCTTGGAGGGGAAGTTTGTAGAAAACAGAAAAATGAAGAAATAAAGATGAACACAGACATGGGAACCGTGAATTCTTGCTTTATTAAATTTCAACTGGCAGGTTTTTGCACCAATACAACGTCTCGTCTTCTAAACTGTCTTTCATTCTGCTCAACTCGGCATATTTTCATTTATTTGTTAGCTTATCAACATAAATTTGAACTCTGAGACATCAGGCGTGATCAACTGTGATCTCGAAACCAAGAAACACGGGACTCATGTAGATCCTGAGTTTAAAATACTGAAGATAAAGAGAATCTTAATTCCTCTTATACGATGAGTGAACGTCTGTGAGCCTCCATCACTGAGACGTCAAACACCGTCTGAAACCTTTCAACCACGATTCATCTTGAACGATCACTTTCTTTCTTGGTGTGTCGGTGAGCTGTGGTTCAGACGGTGGGTTGGGGGCCTCAGATCCTCGTGTGGCCCTCACACAGAGCTGCTCCGGCTCTGATCCTGGTGTCGCCGCTGTATTTTAATCTGGGAGCGTCTGACCATTGAGTTCAGTTTGTATAAATCTGCCTCCTTGGTGTGTTTGGCGTCGTCGAGGCTGCCGCGGCCGTCGTCCTCCGTCGGCAGACGTTAACGGGGAAACCTCGGCGGCTCGACTGAGCTTCTGAGCCCGAGCGCCACGCTGATAATTCCCTCAGTGTGTCGGTGTGGGTGTCAATAGGCGGTGGGAGGGAGGGAGGGAGACATGGAGGATTACCATTATTGCTCCTCTAAATGACTGTTATTCAGGGGGTTGTTGTTACAGGCCTGTTATTTGGAGCCCATTACATCTGTCACCAAGGTGCAGCGGGGGGAACGTGTAAGCTCCAGACGCGCTCAGACGGTCACTCTCCCTACGCAGGTTTAGAAACGCCAATTTCCTCCGAGGGACAACACTGAAAGAAAGAATGACCCCAAAGAGACGAAGAAAGAACCCCGGGGAGCCGCGTCACACATCCGCTCCCAAAACGCCTGAGCGTGTTTTAACCAGGCGGCCTTTCATTCAGCTCCCACCGGGAAAAATCCACCACAGACCATGAGACGAGTTTCACCTGGTTTTAATAGAAATAAGGTGAAATTCATTGTCGTGTTCCTCACGCAGACGCAGCCACTGTTTTCATTTGAAGATTTAAGATTCAGACAAACGAGCGACTGGATAAACAAATTCCAGAAACAGGAGAATGTCTCTGAGGCTGCGAGGATCTCAGGACTCAGGCCAGATATCGACAGAAATGTTTTACAGAAGCTCGGGATTGATCCAATGATTTTATTTTGATTCTTTGGGATTTAATTCCCTGCTGTATAAACTGAGGCTGATTTTCAAAAAACATTATAATGTCTGATTTAAAAAAACGCTCATTTAAGATTAAAGCCACAACTGTAATCTGTTATTTAAAGTTTCCTCAGCAGATTTTTAAGTTCACACAAACAGGCTGTTGTTTAAAGTCTCAGGATAATATGTTATAGAGGAGTCAAATGTTAATTTCACATTTCAATTCAAATCGGCTTGTTTCAGTAATTATCTTGATTCTAATGAAGCTGTTTCTTTGTCCTTTATTTTTATTTTTCGACTCCAAAAGCAGCTTTTTAACTGTTTGCATCAGGAAACCTCAACGAAACCAGAGTTACAAGAATTTAACAGAATAATGTCATTTTGTATAAATCAGCTTCTGTCGCTCGTTTTCTTGAATCATTTTCTTGACACAGGTGCAGACGCAGGATTATGTTTGTCTCAGAAAACATTCCTCAGTCGAGGGGAAGCTGAGAACAAGAGGGATTATCTCACCCCACTGGCAGAAAAGACAGATTTTAAGGCTGAATGTGAGAACAAGTGACTTGTTAAGTGGGATTTTGTGCGGCGGACGGAGCAGAGCGTGAAAAAGCGGCGGTGGACAGCGTGAGCGGGTCAGGAAGCTGAAACGTTGCACTGGGCTGTGAGGAATGTTGGTATGTGGCTCCAACGAACATCCAGAGCCGCCGAGCTGCAGATCCACTCTGGAATGTGTGTGTGTGTGTGTGTGCGCACATCATCCGACCGGCAGCCGCTCGTCGTCCTAATAACCACCCGAGGACACGTACAAACAGAAACACATCTCGCTGGTGCACAGAGCAGAAAGCGTTCCCGTACTGGAGTGAGATTTGAGAGCTCAGAGAGCGGCTGCAGGTTTGGCTGCAGAGCTGCTGGAGGCGCTTTTGGAGACAAACCCGTTTGCCTGGACCGACTCCAAGAAGAAACAATGTGCTGTATTCAGAGCCCCTGACGAGGGAGGGTGAACAATGTTATATATATAAAAAAAGCAGTGCAGCTGGCGCTCTAATGCACAGCCTGTAGATACAGTTTCCTCTTTGTGCGAGAGCTCCGAGCTGAAGGTTTAATCTGAGATTTGATGTAAAGATTTTCTGACACAGCAGCTGCAAAAAAATAATGCTCCTGAACTTTCAGGGTTTTTAAAAAAATTAAACCTCAAACCTCACGTTGAACCTGAACGATTCTCAAACAATTAAAAGACAATGAAACTGAAACGTCACAGTGAAATGAGTCAGAACAAATCCCAGTTTAAAGCCAAACCAACACGAGCATCTCCTCATAACAACCAACCATGTGTGTGTTTGTATTTATTATATTTCATATGTGACCCCTCTGAGCTGCAAACGATTTAAATCCATTTAATGAGGCTCAGTGTCACAAACACTGGATGTAGATTCAGTCCCACACGTCATCCTGCTGCCACAAATACTCACTGCAGCACCGAATGTGGACTAATCCGCCGCCGAAAATAGTCCCAGACAAATGCTGTATTTCCTCTTGTTATTACTGCGCCTTGGAAAACGTTTAAAAAGTTTTCAGCCGAGCAGAAAGGTGTCGAGACAAATATAGTTTACGTCCAAACTCATAATCTGCAGATTTAACTTGAAAGACAGAAAACGAGAGAAGCTGTCGTGAGGTGAGATTCTCACTCTAAAGTTCATCGTCAGTGATTCTTACAGGTTGAGTTCGCTCAGACGTGTTGAAATGTTCTCACTGCAGATTTCTACAGAGGGTTTGTCCTGAGCAGCAGATTCACTTCTTTCTCCTCGTGCACCGTAACAAATCTCTTAAGCTTCAACTGACACAAGGAAGTTTTTCTTACAAGTGAATATTTATGTTTCAGTGATTTGGGGGATTTTATAAATGTGGGTCTGAATCTCTAAATTAACAAATACTGGAAATCTGGAGTGATGCAGTACAGCTTCTTACAACACTAGTGTGTGTGTGTGTGTGTGTGTGTGTGTGTGTGTGTGTGTGATCCACATGCCACCTCAGTCAGTGTGCACGTATCAAGATGTGTGAGCGTCTGTTTGATCTATGAATAGTCGAGGTTTTTTTCAATACGTGGCTCAGGAGAGGGGGGCTACACCCCCTCCTCCCCTCCCCCTCCCAGTTCCCTCTGAGGGGTTTTATCCAAATAAGAAAATGTTCCGTGAAGATGTTTTCTGTCCGTCTGCGTTTTTTTCGGTTGGAAAGTTTTTCTTTTTGGTCGCTGTCGTTGTTTCTGTGATGAAACTCTTCTTTCTTTCTTTCTGTCAGAAAATAACAGGTTTTCTCTCAAACTTTGCCGCAGACGAAACTTTCAAACCCCCAAAACAAGTTGTAGTGAAAAGAAAAGAAAAATATATGTTTTATTTTTGCTGCTGTGGAATTTTTACTGCAGAACATTTTCCAAAGTCGTAGAGACACAAGAGTCTGTCGCTCCGTTGATTCTATTCATTGATGAGCATCAGTTTTATTTCTCGTTAAAACTCATCCACAAATGATGGTGAAGTAAATAGAAACTGTTTTAAATGAGTTCCACACAAAGTGAGTTCAGTTGCACTGTGCTGATCAGTTTTTAACTTGTGTTCAGGGACATTTAACAACCTTTACTTCTTTTACCAAAGTTCTTCATTTAACAATATATTTCTCAGACTGATGACTCAGAAGATATAACGTTCTGCTGTCGCTCTAAATTTAAATGTTTTTTTATCTTAAGCCGTATCCAGATATTTGAGACTCTAGAGAAAATGAGATTTGTTCTTGAGGAAGAGTTTGAGTCTTGATCTGATCTGCAGCAGAAAGTTGTGAATGAAGAATGAGCTCTTCCTGGTTTCAGGCTGAGTTTCAGCGACAACGAGTAAATACGTCGTTAAAACATAAAAAATCTCTGGTCTGAGGTTTGAACAGGAAGTGTTCGAGCGTGGCTGCTCGCCTCATCGCCCTCTTTTCCTGCACGAGCTGTAATAACGTTTTCATTTCATAATCCTCCGACTCTTCCATAACTCCAGTTTAAATCCAGACCGTTTTTGTTAAGATCTTTGGATCAGTCGCTTTCTTCTCCTCTTTTGTTGACGCACTTTCTCTCCCAGGCTCATGTGGGGAATACGCCTGGTTTTGTGGTGGTTTGGGGGCGGAGCAGGTGTAACCGACCCCAAGTTTGGGTCCAATCCAGGAGATTCCGTCTAACCACATTCCCACCATAATAACTGTGCAGCCCTCGTCGGCTGAAAACCACGTAATGCTCCTTTAATGCACCTTTAATCCTGCACATGAAGATCTGAGCTGAACAAACCAGCGCTGAGCCCATGTTTGTGCTCGTGGCGGTTTGGTTTCCCTCCGCTCGGCCGCCGGCGGTCGGCCTCTTGGTTGGTTGTTTGTTTGGTGCGTTTTTGGTCGGGGGGGGGGGGGGGGGGGGGCTGGCAGATGCATTCCTCCCTCCTGAGAGCGAGAGAGAAGGAGGTGAGAGAGGTTGAGTCTGAAATTCATTATTTCTTTGTTAAATTCTTTTCCTTCCTTTCTTTTGTCCTTTCCTTCTTCTTGCTTCCTAACCCTCATCATTTCCCTCCTTTTTGTTTTCTTCTGTGCCTCTGCTCTTTCTTTACTTTTCCATCTTCTCTTCTCGTTTTCTTATTTATTTCCTTCCCTCTTTTGTTTCCTTCTTTCATGCAGCATCTTATCTAAAAACAAATTCAAGAACCGTTAAAACCTGAAAATATTTGTGCAGCGTCGTCTGTTTTCTCGTTTCGAGAAATCTGGAAGAAATCTTTTTTGCGAAGAGTCAAATGTTTTCTGACATTTAGTTTCCTGACTCCTCCGACACCAGTGGGACGGTTGTTTTGAAAACCTCGTTCATGCTCATTAAACTCTGCGTTTAGCTCCAGTGGAGAATCTGAAAAGTGTGTCTCTGTGAAATGTTATGATTCTGTTCATCAGTAGAAAGTCTGTGGTTTGATTATTTCACTGAGCTTCACTGAACAATGTTGTGTTTAATGTTGTGTCCTGAGCTAAAGTGGAAGATGAGAATAAAACTGTTTGATTGTTGCTGCGACCTGTTTGTCCTTCACCCTCTCACCTCTCGTCTCCTCTCCGTCCCTCAGGATGAATTCCATCCTTTCATCGAAGCCCTGCTGCCCCATGTCCGGGCCTTCGCCTACACATGGTTCAACCTGCAGGCCCGCAAGAGGAAGTACTTCAAGAAGCACGAGAAGCGCATGTCCAAGGAGGAGGAGCGCGCCGTGAAGGATGAGCTGCTCAGCGAGAAGCCCGAGGTCAAACAGAAGTGGGCGTCTCGCCTCCTGGCCAAACTGCGCAAGGACATCCGGCCAGAGTTCAGGGAGGACTTTGTGCTGACGGTGACGGGGAAGAAGCCGCCGTGCTGCGTGCTGTCCAACCCCGACCAGAAGGGCAAGATGAGGAGGATTGACTGCCTGCGCCAGGCGGACAAAGTGTGGAGGCTGGACCTGGTCATGGTGATTTTATTCAAAGGGATTCCCCTCGAAAGTACTGACGGGGAGAGACTGGTAAAGTCTCCTCAGTGTTCGAACCCCAGCCTGTGCGTGCAGCCGCATCACATTGGAGTTTCAGTGAAGGAGCTGGATCTGTACCTGGCCTACTTCGTCCACACAGGTCAGTCCCGCCCTCTGAGTGTGAGTGAGTGACACATGACGCTGCTTGTTGTGTGTCTGTTTGACATGATGACACGCTGTGACATCATTACACCAACACAAGCTCACAGAAACCACACGGTGTTTCGGTGGGATCTCGTCACCGCAGCTGGTTTCCTTCGCTCGTCTTTAAATTGTTTCTGTCGTTGAGTTTATCGAGTTTGAACTTGACAAAGTGTCTGTGATGACGTGGGAATAAGGAGAACGATTGTGGATGAATGTTGTATCTCTGTCAGCTGGTGCTTTCATGATCACTCAGACACATGTTTGACGGTGCAGCATCATTTAACAGGGACAAACATATGATGTTCAAATCGTTTGATAAGAGGAACAGAATCATTTAAACCAATTAAAACACTGAGGATCTGACTCATTTCTGGAAAACTAATGCTACAAAGTAGAAAAGCTTCTCGCGTCAGTTTTTACTCGACTCCAGTGAAACACAGTGAAACGTCTCCGGCAGACGTTCGTCAGGATCAGGACTCGTTTCACTGTTTCCTCTGATTCAAGTTCACGTGTCGGCGTGAGGATGAAGCTCCGCGTCAGTAAACTGCTCGGTGCCTCTCGACTTGCGGCTGCAGACGCTCGTGTTATCTGCTGCAGACAGACGCAGTTTCATCAGCGGTCAGCAAAGCAGAAGTCTGAGGAGGAAGAAACGTCCCTGCCAAAATAAAACACACGCTGGCTGAGCAGAGTGTTCTCGAGCTGAAGCTGGCACATCCTCCACTACGACTCGCACTGTAAGAAAAACACACAATTATCTGCTGTGTGATTGCTCAGCACGTTTCCTGATGTCAGACTGATGCCACAGGAATATGATTTGATGATTTATGTGGTTGGAATATTTGCGAGCGGCGGCGGCAGCGGAGACGTTTGGCAGATGGTTTAAACACTTGGCTCCGAGCTCAGGTTAAGTTTGTTTGAGTTTTCTTGGAAAAGAAAATCAGTTTCCAGGTAGAGCAGGTAAAATTATCTCCAAGGTTCAAATCCAGATTCTCCAGCAGCAGCTCTGAAACTGAAGCGTTTTTATTCCTCAACTATCAGAGAATGTTTCCAGAAAAATGAACTTAGATAAGTAACATGGTTTATTGATTTACAGAACCTTTTGGTTTAGGTCGGACAGGTTTTAGAGATAATAAGCGTTTGAACATTTTCCAGGACTTGTATTGAGTTTAAAGGGTTAAGTTTTCTGAAGATCATCAGCAGCTGCAGCAGCTTCATGAGAAAACCAGACGAGATGAAGACAGACGTTCCGCTGATGAAGACCAAGAGGTTGAGAGACACACGATGGCCCTTCATGATAAACACTTTTTAAAATGACATGAAGGTTTTTAAGACTTAATCACAGACAGAACTTGTCTTTGTTTCACAAAGTACAGAATCTAACGACAGCTTCTCTCAAAGAGATTCCTCCAGTTCCCGTCGTGTTTTCACGGAGGTAAAGTTTCAGCTGTGATCCGTGGACAGCCGAGCACATGGAAAGATCTGTGACCCTGAACCTTAATTACAATCACTTCCTCTGGCAGACTGAAGCCTCTCTGAGCCCAAAGTTTGCTCCCAGTCTCCCTGCGGAGGCTCGGCTGTCATCTGAGCGTGTTTTCACTCTGCGGCCGCAGTAATCAGCTGTGTGCTCGTTCACACTGAGCTCTCTTCAGTCCAGTGAAACGCTGCCGCAGTCGCTGCTCTGTGGATTCATTCTGAGGGGGTTTGAACAGTCGTCGGTCTCTAAGAACCCTCTAATGACTGGCCCCATGTTGGAAACTCAGTGAGTTTTGTGTTTTCATTTCCAGCAGCCGCTCGCTGCGGTCACAAACACAAAGGCGACGATTTGTGGTGGAGACTGAAGCAGCTTTAAAATTAAAAGCTAAATGTGCATCTTCTGCCTCAGAGCTGCAGATTTAAAGCCTCGTCTTGACAGAGACTTGGCAGGATTGTGTCTGGTTTGAACGAGGAGGCCGAGGCTGGACGCCCGCAGAACCCCCCACCCCCACCCCGGGGATCAGGTTTCTGCCTCTTATTTAAGGCGGCGGATCTTTTCTGGAGCAGCGGTGTTTATTAAAAGCCATGTGAAGGCAGGTTGACCTTAGGGCTCGCAGGGCCGGAGGCGGGGTCTGTTGGGGCCGCCCCAGTCGGTAATTAAATTCATCCCCATACCACTGACTCAGGGTGGGGGGTGGATAAAGACCAGCAGTGTTGCCCGTAGAAACCGCAGCGCACGACCAACCATTTATTATTTAATCCTGTTAAAGTTCAGCAGCAGAAAACTCAACCAGACAAAACCTGGAGACGATTTTAAAGAAAAACCAGAAATCAGTTTGTTCTTCACCTGCTGCTTTTCACTGTTTTCACTTTTAAGCTGTAAAAACCTGGCGTCAGTCGCAGCTCCTCACTCAGTCCGTCACCTCGGCTCCTTCTGGACTCAACTTTGGTTTGGTCCGTCAGAGTCACCTTCCTCTTCCTGGTCCGACATTAACAGGTGCAGGGACACTTCGGTGCTCGTTTCATGCATCAGTGTGTGGGAGAATGTTCCGGCTTCAACCTGAACTCTTCAGGGTTCTCGTTTGAGTGTTTAGTGTTTTAGTCACAGGTCATGTGAACTTCTCAGCAGATCGATGAGGCTTTACTTTCTCTGCCTCTTCTTTAAACTTCTCTGAATCCAGTTAAGAACTCTTACAATTAAAGACATCATTATAATATAAGACGTCATATGTCCTTGACTTGGTCTTCATTGGACTCATAGATGCTCAGACGTGTTCGTGTCTCGGGTTTGTCTCATAGTTTAAATAGAGCTGGACTCAAAGTTTGAGGACAACTTGAGCTGCACATGATCAGTTTGGTGTGAGAGTGGAGCAGGTTCAAACAAGCCTCAGGAAATAAGGTGGAGAGCTGAACAGGAAGTCACTGCTGAGCTTTTCAAAGTACATACTTTCACTCCCTGTAGTCAAACACACACACACACACTCAGCAAACCCTCCATTCATACGTGTGTGTTGTGAGTGTGCGTGCACCCGGGATCGTCATGAACAAGTGTTCAGGGGGTCAAAGGTCAGCCCTCCCCCCACATCCTTCCCACCGCCCTGCACTGATTTACGAGCT